TTGGCTACCGGCGTGATTGGCTGGGACTCGGCGGCTGACATTCAGCTTAAATTTTGAATTATCGATTGATCTGACTGCCAGTTGCGTTTGTTGCCTGTAGGCCGATCGATAGCCTGCTGTGCGCGCAGATGCTTGCGCGGGCTATTTATCTCTTTGACTCATCCCAACACTACCACATCGCGATTCCTATCCTAATAGGTGCTGACCCTAGAACAGAATCAAAGTGTTAACATATGTCGGCCGTATAGTGAAAACTAAATCCGAATTGAATCATAGTTAAGTTGGCAGTTAAGCAACAAATGCTTCTTAAACAGCAGTATCAGCATATTTGAGGGAGATGTAAGTGGGTCATCTTTGAGTCCCCTATGAAGAAAGAAGGCTCTTCGGAGCACCGAATTTTACTCGTGAATTTTGAAGCAGGTCACACGGCCCGGTCGTCAGACTAAATAGAAAGGGAGGGCTGACATTTTCGCACTAGAGGATTTGGGGGCAGAAGTTACATGGAACAGGGGTGAAGGTGCGGGTGGGGGGAATTAGGGTGACGCGGATCCTGCTGCGATAGGCGCTGCAAGTGAAAGGAGGTGTGAACGTTGAGATTATGGGCCACGTGTCCGGGGGGAGGCAGAATAAGTGAAGTTCCACTTGGCTGAGCACGTATATACTGTTGGTGTTTCATGCTGGGTTTAAGTTAGTGGACCATGTGCGCATAGGATTGCTAAGAAGTTACCTTAGTCTCCTTTAAAACGACGCCAGCAGTGTTAATCCTAGTGCGCCCGAATTAAATGCTTTGAAACTGTGCGAGTTTTTTTTTTTCAAAATCGGAATCTTGCTGTGTCAAGTCCAGTCCTCTGGACTTGCTGGATGTGCGCATCTGTATGCGGATCAGCGTAATTTTTTTCGAGTGAGTTACCTTTTTGTGATCGTACCCAGCCCTGATTAAGTCACCGATGAGTTGGCAATTAGTCAGAATGTATTCTTCAACCAGCTTCTGTTTCGCATTAAACGTCAGGGATCAATGTCGCTTCATCTCGTTTGTGTATGTAGAGGTGTCTAACATTGGTACCCTGACAAAATCCAAAGAGCTATGAACCATAAATGTGTGAGGCATGATTCCGATAATTCTGTACCTGGTCGCCATTGCTTTCTACGGCGAGTGCTTCTTCTCCAACTAAAAGACGGCAACGATTGTGCTTACGACGTCCTGCAAGTTTGGTCTTGTTAATTTCTATTGGGTTTTAAGGCGTTTCGTTCAGCTTTCTTCTAGCGACAGACGTCCCGGCAGTAATTGAACCTGTCAATCACCGCATTTGGGCATCTACCAATAACATTGGGCATTTTTTGTGGTGGCATTCTGTTGCTGCGGCAATAAACTCGCTCTAAAATGACTTCGAACTTCAAACTAAAGTGTAGAGTCTTCCCTTTAAGCCACAATAATGGAGGAATTTCGTTCCTCTTTCTTACTGATTGGACAGGCTGGTGCCTCTTTCTTCTGAACTTTACTACCGACACATTCTGTCCACGGCCCTTCTTGTGGGTGAACGGTCTCAGTCTGTCACACTTAGGGCAATATTTTCCCTGTTCTTTACTCACGTAATGGCGTAGGACTTTGCGGGCTACGGTAAGGTCCAGATGTCAGTTGACGG